GTTATCATTAGGACACATGGAATTAGCTTTCATTGTTATGCTGATGATACTCAGCTGTATATTTCTTCAAAACCTAATGAAACCTATTAATTCACAAAATTAACGGAATGCACAGCTAATATACAAAATTGGATGACAAGTAATTTCCTTCTACTAAATTCTGAAAAAACAGAGATTCTAATTATTGGACAAAAAACTTCCACATGTAATAACCTAGAATACTGTCTAACACTTGATGGCTGCTCTGTTAAATCTTCGTCGTCAGTTAGGAACCTGGGTGTGCTTTTTGAGACCAATCTCTCATTTGAAAGTCACATGTCTAGTATCTGTAAAACCGCATTTTTCCATCTTAAAAATATATCAAAATTACGCCATATGCTTTCAATGACAAATGCGGAACAATTAGTTAATACGTTCATGACATCAAGACAAGATTATTGTAATACTCTACTGGGTGGTTGCCCTGCACGCTTGGTAACACTTTACAATAAGGTTCATTTATTAAACATTAGTTAATATATAACTAACATGAACTAACCATGAGCAATACATTTGTTACTGTTTTTGATAATCTTTGTTAACGTTAGTTAATGCAAATCCAGCTGTTCATTGTTTGTTCATGTTAGTTCACAGTGCATTAACTAATGTTAACAAGATTTTAATAACGTCTTAGTAAATGTTGAAATTAACATTAACAAAGATTAACAAATGCTCTAGAAGTATTATTCATTCTTAGTTAATGTTAACTAATGTAGTTAACTAATGAACCTTATTGTAAAGTGTTACCACAAACTTCAGCTAGTCCAAAACGCAGCTGCTCGAGTTCTTACCAGAACCAGGAAGTATGACCATATTAGCTCGGTTCTGTCAACACTGCATTGGCTGCCTATTAAACACTGTAGTTTATTGTATTTTTCAAGTTTATTGTATTTATAAAGCACATTTAAAACAACCTAGGTCGACCAAAGTGCTGTACAAAATATATCTATTAAAATCCGTATAAAATAAGAAAACAAAAACAAAAACATAAATCAAACACATAAAAACAACTTTCACAGAACATTGAACGCACAGGAGTACAAATAGGTTTTTAAAAGACTTCTGAACACCGACACTGTGGGCGCTGTTTTAATATGTAAGGGCAATTTATTCCATAGCCTGGGGCCAGCTACCGCAAAGGCTCAGTCACCCCTACATTGCAGCTTCGACCTGGGTACTCTTAACATTTGATTAGACTGTGATCTGAGCAGTCTAATTGGTCTGTGTTCAGTCACCAGCTCTGTGAGGTATTGAGGAGCCAGATTATTTAGTGCTTTATAAACAAACAACAAAACTTTAAAATCAATACGATACTGAACTGGTAGCCAGTGCAGTAAACGTAATGTGGGCGAAATGTGGTCCCGTTTACGAGTGCCTGTGAGCAAGCGGGCGGCTGCGTTTTGTATCAGTTGTAGTCGATGGATAGATGACGCAGGTAGTCCTAGATAAAGCGAGTTACAGTAGTCGAGTCGAGATGAGATAAAGGCATGAATTACAATCTCAAAACTGTTCCTACTTAGGAAAGGTTTAACTTTCGCTAATCTCCGGAGGTGGTAAAAACTGCCACGTACAACTGTATTTATTTGTTTATTTAAATTTAGGCCACTATCCAATATAAAACCCAAGTTCTTTGTCGAGGATGTGCGATATTTACTGAGCGAACCCAAGTCCACATTGCTCAGGTCACTTTTCTCTGATGGCCCGAACAGAACTATTTCAGTTTTATCCTCATTCAAGTGGAGAAAGTTTTTGTTGAGCCATAGTTTCAAATCTTTAAGGCAATCCGTCAGTTGATTTAACGCAGATTTGTCGCGTTTAAATGGTATATATAACTGCGTATCATCGGCATAGCAATGATAGGATACTCCGAAACGTCTAAATATGGAGCCTATAGGTAGTATATATAGAGAGAACAGCAGCGGTGCTAGCGTTGAACCCTGAGGGACACCACATGTAACCTGTGCTTCAGTGGAAGAGTGATTCCCTATATTTACGTAGAATTTTCTGTTGGACAGGAATGACCGGAACCAGTCAAGTACGGTGCCTCTTAAACCAATGCATTGCTCCAGACGAGACAGAAGAACATCATGATCAACAAAGTCAAACGCAGAACTAAGATCTAGCATTATTAAAGCTACGATGTTACCAGCGTCAGTGGACATTAAAATATCATTATAAACTTTCAGAAGAGCAGTCTCTGTACTATGTAAAGTTTTAAAACCAGACTGAAAAATATCTGATATACCATTTGTAGTCAAATAATCTTGAAGCTGTATAAATACAATTTTTTCTAGAATCTTTGATATAAACGGCAAGTTTGAAATTGGTCGAAAGTTTGAATAGATTGAAGGATCCGGCGAGGCCTTTTTTGGGATTGGTGACACTGAGGCTAATTTTAGAATCTCTGGAATTGTCCCTGTCAAGAGACAATTATTTATTATTATTACAAGGTCAGGTCCAATAGTGTCAAAGATTTGTTTTAAAAACCATGAAGGCAGGACATCCTGAGCTGAAAAAGTAGATTTTAATTTCAAAGTGACCTCCCTACATGTCTGTAAGGAGATCAATTCAAAATCACTCCACTGCGTAGTGAATAATATGCAGTCTGGAATAGAATCTGAGTTTATAAATGGTTGAGCCCGTGCCTTTTTCACTTTATTTAAAAAATAATTAAGAAAGTTTTCACATAGTGAAGATGAAACGTCTAGGAATATCTGTGTTGGAGGATTTAAAACAGAATCTATTGTTGAAAATAAAACTTTAGAACAGTAAGAATTTTGTGCTATGATGTCCGATAGATATTTTTCCTTTGCATTCTTGGCAGCTTTTTGGAAAGTGTGTAAGGAGGTCTTCAGCATTTCAAATGATACCTGTAGACCATCTTTCTTCCACTTTCGTTCACATCTACGACTTTGCTGCCTGAGTTCCCGAATCTCTTTGTTTAACCATGGTTGGGATTTACCCTTCCGATTAACGAGTTTTCGTGGTGCAATAGCATCTACAATATTACCACATCTATTATAAAACAGTTGCAACTGATCATCAGCACTCGATTGGGGAAATAGCAAATCCGAGGTGAGAGGTTGATGTTCTTTCAGATACATATTAGAAAATGCCTTGCAAGATTGTGCAGTCAGAGTACGAGACCAGCATACCTGAGCTGGTTTGGTAGGTAAAGAAGGAAGAATAGTGTGAAATAGTACCGGTTTATGGTCAGAAAAAGAAATATCACTCGTAACAACATCAGCAACCGATAAACCATACGTCAGTATCAGATCTAATGTATGACCATGACAGTGAGTCGGGCCATCTACCCATTGTGCAAAGTTAAGTGAAGATATAAGATTTAAAAATTCATTTGCTAATACATTGGCTGCACAGCAGACATGGATATTGAAATCACCCAAAATTAAAATACTATCATACTTAGTAAGAATTTCCCCCAGAAATTCAGCAAACTCTTCAATAAAATTATTGTTCGGTGCTGGTGGTCTATAGATTAAAATGATCAAAACAGAATTCAAGTTAATCAACTGGGCCTCAAAGCTAGTAGGACTGGTAGTGGTCAGTAGTCTGCATTGCAAATTATTTTTAAAGACCGTCACAAGCCCACCTCCTCGCCCCGTAAGACGAGGAGTGTTAAAAAAATCAAAGTTGGGAGGCACAAGCTCAGAAAAAGGGCTTAGGTCACCTGGTTTTACCCATGACTCAGTCACAAAGAAGAGTTCCAGATCATTTGTAGTGATGAAATCGTTGAGAATAAAAGTTTTATGTATAAACTGTATAAATGTTACAATATTGTTGATTACTAACAAAGCACTAAGTGGATTAACTCCCCAGTACTTGAGCGAGCTCTTATGCATTATAGTCGTTCACATCTATTGCGATCTCAAAGTTCCGGCCAGTTGATAATACCTAGAATATCAAAATCGACTGCTGGCGGTAGATCCTTTTCCTATTTAGCACCAAAGCTCTGGAACAATCTTCCTAACATTGTCCGGGAAGCAAACACACTCTGTCAGTTCAAATCAAGACTAAAAACATCTCTTTGGCCTGGCATACACATAACACACTATAGACTTCCTTAATTCCGAATTAGGCTGCATAGTTTAGATCATCTGGAACCGGGAACAAGTCCCGTAAATCCTGATGTACTTGGTACATCATAAGAAGGATGGCGTCTACGCTAATATTAGTTTCTCTGTTTATCCCGAGGGACCCTCTATTGGCCTCATCGACACGACAGCCATCGGCAATGATCTTCAACAACTCGTCTCTCCATATCGGTGTGATTACTTCGACTTACAAACAGAATGGAAATGGATAAATACTCTAAATGTTCCGATCCAATCTGACTTGTAATGCTACCCGAATCACACACTGTTCCTTCGTTGGCCAGAGGAGAACTGCCCCCCGACTGAGTCTGCTTTCTTCCAAGGTTTTGGTTTTTGGAGTTTTGGTTCCTTGCCTTGGCTTTTGACTTGCTAAGTTGGGTACATTTAATATTCAACAATATAATTGATCTGCCTTACTTAAGGTGGACGTTGACGCAATTTTCTTCTAGAAACAAACTTTGTTGTATTATTTTCATATTATCACTGTGAAGATGCTTTAATACAATCTGTATAAAAAGTGCTATATAAATAAAGGTGACTTGACTTATTTGGTGCACTAACCCTTTAACTTCAAATGAACCCAGACTGAAATTGAACGTTGCCAGTCAAGATGAACTCAGATGCAAATTCACATAAATCCAGTAAATGGATTGTTGGCAAATAATTTGGCAATTCAGATTGTAAGGATCAGGAACAAGTCTGAAAAATGACATCTGAGGCCTACAACTGAAGTTTAAAAAATAAAATCCTTTTGCTTATTCCGAGGATATTGTGAATTGTGGGTTAAAATGATATATGAAGTAGTTTACCTACAGAAATGAGCCAGAGGCGAACATGAGAACTCACCCACAGTGGTGGCAGGAGTCTGGGAAGGGTAATGTGCAGGACCACTTGTGGCAGGGTAAGCATTGCCTCCTGGGTAAGGGTAACCCGGGTAACCACTGAAGAAGACATAAACCATTACATAACCAATTAATCACAGTCTTTAATTAAAACACTGCCTTTTAAACCATGTGTTTTATATGCTTCAACAGGTTAATTTAATATTGTTCAGGCTATTGCATGTGATCTTTGGTCAGTCTGAATCAGAATCATTACCATGGGTTTGGGTTGGGCCCATATGGAGACACTGCTGGCATTCCTGGCATATAGGACTCTAGAGGGAGGAGAACACAAAACAAACACTTCAGTATGGAGCAGGGAGACATCTGCTGTTTAAAACAGGAATTACTTTGAAAAATAGGAATGGTTAAGTGATCATGTGAAGCTTATTTCATTTTTTTAATATGAGCCGAACAAAAGAAGTCACATGAAAGTCTACATTTTCAGAGCCCAAAATATATGATACTACAAACATAAAAACAAATACATTTTCCTAATTACAAATTAAAGTACCTACGTTTTAACACCACACATCCTATAAGGATATATCTCCAGGTCAAGAAATGTCTGTATTCTATTGCCAAAATCTGCTAAATGAGATTATATTTTGCACACAACATTATTTTTTGTTGTTGAAACATTAGGATTTTGCACTGTGACATTATTTTTATTCCATTATTTATTTTTATAAATATTATCATTACAACAAATACTGTAGTCATTTTAAAGGGTTAGTTCACCCAAAAATGAAAATTAAGTAATTAATTACTCACCCCCATGCTGTACCAACCCCGTAAGACCTTCGTTCATCTTCGGAACACAAATAAAGATATTTTTGATTGAATCTGAGGGCTGGATCACTTTTCCATAGACAGCCTGAGGGACTGCCTCTTGACGGCCCAGAAAGTCATTAAAAGAAAAGGTTTAAATATTCCATGTGCCTACAGTGGCTCAACTATAACTTTATCAAGCGACGAGACTACTTTTTGTGCGAAAAAAAACGTAAATAACGACTTCATTCGACTTTCCATTACTTCCTTATGGGCGCATGCGCGAGAAGTGAGACGAGACCGTTCTTCTTCGACTACTTTTTGTTACCGGCTGCTCACCGCTTAGGAGTTTTACCGCCCCCTACCGTATAAGATGACGTACTGCTTGTAAACAGAACGTTTTGCGCCTCCGGCTATATCAGTACGTCATCTTATACGGTAGGGGGCGGTAAAACTCCTAAGCGGTGAGCAGCCGGTAACAAAAAGTAGTCGAAGAAGAACGGTCTCGTCTCAGTTCTCGCGCATGCGCCCATAAGGAAGTAATGGAAAGTCGAATAAAGTCGTTATTTACGTTTTTTTTTCGCACAAAAAGTAGTCTCGTCGCTTGATAAAGTTATAGTTGAGCCACTGTAGGCACATGGAATATTTAAACCTTTACTTTTAATGACTTTCTGGGCCGTCAAGAGGCAGTCCCTCAGGCTGTCTATGGAAAAGTGATCCAGCCCTCAGATTCAATCAAAAATATCTTTATTTGTGTTCCGAAGATGAACGAAGGTCTTACGGGGTTGGTACAGCATGGGGGTGAGTAATTAATGACTTAATTTTCATTTTTGGGTGAACTAACCCTTTAACTACCATGTATACTAGTTATTGCTATTAATAAAACAACTAATAAACATTTTTAGTAATTGAAATAAAGCTGAAATAAAATAAAATATAAGTATTAGCTGAAAACATTTTAACTTACTGCCTTGACATAAGCTGGCAACTAACTGAAATAAATACATTTAAACTGATTTTCCATGTAAAACTAAGATCAAAATAATAACACTGATGTATACTTACAATTGTTGTATAGTACACATGTTTTTAATTTATCATTACATTTATGAGAAAATCATTTTTGTTACATAAATAATATAAATTCTCTTTTTATATATTTAAAACTGTACAAATCACTTGAAAATGTTTTGTTTTCTGTAGGGATGCTCCTATCAGAATTTTTGCAGTCGATACCGATTTCCGTTTTTTTTTTTTTTGTCATCCGATTCATTCAAGCTTTATATAAGTAATAATTAAGCTGTTTTATTAACATAAATGACAAGGACGAAGCAGCTTTATTAGCAGGCTTTCACTTTAACACAGAGTGCACTGTTTGCATTCACTTAAAGGAGTAGTTCACTTCAGAAAACATTCCAGGATTTTTCTCCATTGCAGTTTCAGTGCAGCTTTAAAGGCTCTACACAATCCCAGCCAAGGAATAATGGGTCTTATCTAGCCAAACCATATGCCATATTCTAAAAAATCTAAACATTTGTATACTTTTTAATCACAAATGCTCGACTTGCACTAGCTCTGCAATGTGCCACACATTACGCAATAACGTTGAAAGGTAGGGCGAAAAACTCATCATCTGACATCGTTGTTTTACCTTTTATTTATTCATTTAGCAAATTGTGTTTGACTTAGTCTTTGCACGTTCGCTTTGTAAAGACTAGGTCCGTACTTCCGCCTACATCGCGCTTGACCTTTCAACATGATTTCGTAATGTGTGGCGCATCGCATCTAGTGCAAGATGAGCATTAATGGTTTAAAAGTATATAAATGTTTAGATTTTTTCGAAAATGACCGATGGTTTCTCTAGATAAGATCCTAATATATCGGCTAGGACCGTGTAAAGCCTTTGAAGCTGCACTGAAACTGCAATTTGGACCTTCAACCCGCTGGACCCTGGATCCTTAGATCGTTGATTTCTTTTCGACTGAAGAAAAAAAGACACGAACAACTTTGATAACATGGAGGCGAGTAAATCATCAGTTTCATTCTAAAGTGTACTACTCCCTTAAGACATAAACAACCGTGTTTACGAAAATACTTGCAAAGAGGGGCATTTTGACACACAAGTGTGTGTATCGGCCTATTTTAACTTCTGATTGAGTTATAGAATGCGATCGATTGGAGCATCCCTATTTTTCTGAGATTCACAGATGAACACACGATAAGAAGAGATGCTTACGGTTGGGGGGTCCGGCAGCTTGGAAGGCCTGGTAAGGAGGCTGTGTCGTGGGTCTGGAGAAAACAGGCGGCTCCTCACCAAACACCACAATCATGACCTGGATGAGCCCGTATAGATCTGACTGAGGCTAAAGGGCCAGGAGATAATAATGGGTTGTTAATTTCCATGTCATTTTTATTTCTTGGTAAAACAAAGACATTGGGGGAAAAACATTGCTATAGTTTTGTGAGATGATGGAGTCGTACATGCTTCCACTCGTGCAGGTAGGGAAGGTAGATCTTGCCGTTGGCATCAATGTGTTTGCCGGTCTTGATCATCATCGCACTGGTGGGCTTCACAAAACATATAGGAGGATTGTAGGGATATGTATCCAACAGCCACAAGCACACGGGAATATTGTACACATTTCCTGTGATGGGAAAAGCAGTTTAGTTATAAGTGTTGTAATGTTGTCTTCATCTTTACACTATAAATAATTCTCTAACCCACCTCTATAACTAACGGGTACAGTTCCTGTGAGGCTCATCAAGTCTCTGGATGATCCGTCATTAAACACTGTGAGAGAAACATCAGTTACTCATGAAAAATTCGAAGAAGTCCATTAACATTTCCAGAGATCTACAAAGTGCAGGACGAGAGACTCTTACCGTACGCATCCATAACGGGTTTGAGGTCTTTGTACTGAGAGATGACGTTTGTTATCTCTCGGACAGTGAGATCTCTGTACTTGTATTGCTAAATATAGAAAAACATAACATAAATAATCCAATAATCTTATTAACAAATTGTTGTCTCTATTTTAACAGTGGACATGCACCTACGATGACAATTCCAGACCCCTCCATGATTTCTAAGTGGGAGAACTTGCAAAATAGCAGGGCGTTCAAATACGTATTTTCCTCACTGTAGCCTATGTAATCATTTTTGCCATTTAAATAAACTTATTATAAAGTTATGAATATAAATATTTTGACTTAAATAAGCTAATACAGTAGATAGACTGAACTTAAACACACGTTTAAAATTGTGTCTTGGCATCTAAGAAAAAAAATGTTTAAGTACTAAGATTACTGAAACTAAAACTGAAATAAAAATAAAGCTAAACCAATGAGAAACGCAATATACAATATTCAAAATCACATAAAATTACTATTAATAACAATTAAATAACTATTAATTCACTAAAACTTAAAATTAAAACTAAAAATTAAAATATAAAATTAAAAGCTAAAGCAAAATATAACTGAACACTATTATTACTAACATAATACAGATGTATTCTTAAATTGTATACACATGAGAAAATTTTGTTTAATTTTCTTGATATTTTCTTATTTCAAAATTGAAACGTTTTCCATTATAAAGTCAAAATGAATTGTATGAAACTAATTTAATCAATATATATCATGATTTAACAATGACCGTTTAAGTGTTAACATTTTCTTTACTAATGTTATTAATTAAAGTTATAATAAAATAAAACTAGGCTATGCTGAATTTTAAAAAACACTCAAATGCAGTAATACAACGATTTCAGTACATCTAATATAAATATAGACAAAAAGCCTGTCTGCTACAGTCGATATGACATTATTTCATTAACACAATAAATATCAAATGCCCCTCATACTCTTACCTATTACATTTAAGTAACGCTAACTATTCAAAATGAGAGATTACAGACATTAGGCGCAATACAAACCTTCAGCATCTTTTTAAGAGCTCCCTCGTTGACAACAGCCATGATTTACTATACAAATAAAAAAAAAACACTGAGCCAAAAAAAAAAGAAAAAAAAGGAAAAGAATAAATGTGTGAAATATATGAATGTGTCTCAGCTCAGGCCAAAACACACAACAAACCCTAAACACTCGTATTAACGCCTGCTGTGTGACACAACCACACTCTAAATGTCTTAAAAACTCATTAATATAGTCCGAATAATGGCTATTTAAAGAGACTTCAATAAATATAAGTAAAGCCGACTAGAGTTCATCTCGAGAAAGATAAACAATACGAAAGATGCGAACGTAATGCAGTAAGTGAGTTTCACTTCCGGTGAAACTGTGTTGGAATTTTCAAAATAAAAGTCTGACGAGTAGTTTCTGTTTATGATACATGAAAAGCATAATATAATGCGTATGCTCTATACTATAGACTTTAACCCTTGTGCCTTCTTATTTTTGTACTTTTCATTTTTTTTATCAGTTTGCCTGTGTTAATGCTAACTGTTTAAAATTTGGCACAGGTGTGTATTGTTTTGGTTGATTTTACTATTTCACCTCCATTTTCTTAAAAAAAAAAAAAAAAAATACTTTTGCACTAGGTACACAAAATACTCTCACTCAGCGCTTTTTGGACAAAAAATGTTCCCATTGAAACCCATCAAAACTGCACTTTTTAATCCCAGGGCCATAAACTATAAAATGATGCAGTCTTTCTTAAGAGGCTTTCATTGTGTTGGCAAGGCTTCAAAATGTGATTTTTTTTTTTACTATTTTTTACCAGATGGTGTAATTTTTCCAGGTTTGGCCTATAAAAGCAAATACTCGCTTTATTCCTGTTTTCTGCTACAGCATATTATAGAGCCAATTGGATAAATATGGATAAATATTGGATAAAAATAAATATGGATGTCAGAGAGTGGTTTGTGTGTTATAAAAAAAAAAATGTGTGTGTGTGTGCACGTGTGTGTTTGTAATATTGAGAGAGAAAAACTCAACTGCAAATAACAAATCCAATCACTGTGTGCACGAGTGGAGTTTTGCTGGCACTCAATGGGGAAAATCTGTTACTGCGCCCAAACAAAATCTTACCGAAAGCTCATTTTTTGAGATTTTATCCTCAAATTTGGAACACACCATTTTAGATTTATGGCTTTAATTTTCTAGCTGTTTTAGAGTTCAACTTGTCTCATAAAATATATATTTTATATAAATTAATGTTTATAAATAATTTTCATAAACTTAAACCTATATGACTTTTTTTAGGATTTCCTTTTTATTTCTTTTTTTTTTTTTTTACTTCAGCAATAATCTGCCATGGGTCATGGTTAAAGGGTTAGTTCACCCAAAAATGAAAATTAAGTCATTAATTACTCACCCCCATGCTGTACCAACCCCGTAAGACCTTCGTTCATCTTCGGAACACAAATGAAGATATTTTGATTAAATATGAGAGCTGGATCACTCCTCCAGACTTCCTAAGGGACTGGCTCTTGACGGCCCATAAAGTCATTGAAGAAAATGTTTAAATATTCCATGTGCCTACAGCGGCTCAATTATAAGCTTATCAAGCGACGAGAATACTTTTTGTGCAAAAAAAACATAAATAACGACTTTATTCGACTATTCCATTACTTCCTTATGGGCCTTGAGACGAGAATTGAAGAGATTCCAGAACGCATGCGCGAGAACTGAGACGAGGACGTTCTTCTTCGACTACTTGTTACCGGCTGCTCACCGCTTAGGAGTATTACCGTTCCCTACCGTATATGATGACGTGCTGATATAGCTGGAAGCGCAAAACTTTCTGTTTACAAGCAGAGGAAGATGCGCGCTGTACATACGCGTTTCAATTACCGTATGTTCCGCACTATAAGGCGCACTTAAAAGCCTTTAATCTTCTCAAATACGACAGTGCTGTGCGCCTTACAATCCGGAGTGCCTTATACATGATGGATCATCATCTGATCATCTATGGATCATCGTCTTATATATGGATCATCATCATAACGATCATCATCGGTAGGTGGCGGTAAAACTCCTAAGCGGTGAGCAGCCGGTAACAAGAAGTAGTCGAATGAGAACGTCCTCATCTCAGTTCTCGCGCATGCGTTCTGGAAATCTCTTCAATTCTCGTCTCAAGGCCCATAAGGAAGTAATGGAATAGTGGAATAAAGTCGTTATTTATGTTTTTTCGCACAAAAACTAGTCTCGTCGCTTGATAAACTTATAATTGAGCCGCTGTAGGCACATGGAATATTTAAACATTTTCTTTAATGACTTTATGGGCCGTCAAGTGCTAGTCCCTTAGGAAGTCTATGGAGGAGTGATCCAGCTCTCAGATTTAATAAAAAAATATCTTCATTTGTGTTCCGAAGATGAACGAACGTCTTACGGGGTTGGTACAGCATGGGGGTGAGTATTTAATGACTTAATTTTCATTTTTGGGTGAACTAACCCTTTAAGTTCCCGGATGTGCCGGTTGTGCGTAATATGAAATATAATAAGTGTATTATATGCACATTTGGCTATCTGAGTAGGTGTTTACAGGTCAAAATATGCATCAATGAAAAACATTTGAAAGAGCATGAATCACTAGGAAATCATTGCAATAAACATGTGACTTGTGTATTTACATACAATTTACAAGACATTTATGCTCAAATTTAACATTCATTATTATCATTTTTTATAAAATAATTTTATATACAAATCATATTTCAAAGATATTCAGCAAGCTAACAGATGGTTTCATTATGTCCGGAGAAAGGAAGGTCATCCTCAATATCCAGCATCACATGTGAGAAGTCCTCAAATGACTGTACTTTGTGCGCAGAACTTGCTGTAAATAAACAAGAATAGTCATTTTACCTAAATATCCACACCAATGTGCAAATGTATTCTTCTATAAGACTGCAAAATATGTTTTCCTGTTGTACCATATTGCTCAGTGATAATTTCAGTTTATAAAGCATAAAATTACAACAATCATTGAACACTATCATATTTCAGATAACATAAACTAGGTCTAAACTGCCTGATTATCTGTTTCCCAGAAGCAATTAGAAGAGAAAAAGAGATTCAGGAATCAAACTGCTTTATTGACATGCGAAGAGTGATTGGAGTGAAGGGAATAAACAGGGAAACTCTACTCACAATCTTCTGGGTCAAGACAAATCCGCAGAGGAGGGATCTCGCTAAACACGGTCATCATAACCTGAATCAAGCCGAGCAAGTCACACTGCGGCTGTCAATAAACCCACAAACAAACAGAAAATTGTAAATCATTTGTGTAGTGGCAGACGAAAACCATTGTAGCATCTTCAAGCTGTAGTCTTACATGTCTCCACTCGTCCAGGTAAGGCATCAGGATCTCTCCGTTGCTGTTGACGTGTCGGCTGGGCACAACCACCATCTCACGGGTGGGTTTCAGGTAGCAGATGGGGGCAGTGCGTGGATAACTTTCCTTTAGCCACAAACTCACTGGAATATTGTACAGTTTCCCTAAAGCACAAGGTGTAGAAGGGTTTTGCTTGCTTTATAACATGTTTTTTGACTGTAAAACAACAGGGAAGGAAGTCCACTTATCTTCATGGTCTAACTTACCATTAAATAACACCTTAATAGTTCCAGTCAAACTGACCAAGATCTTTGCTGTGCCATCATTAAAGACTGTGAGGAAATAAGAAAATGAAAATCTGAAAAAAGTTCATAGTTGGAAACAAACATACAATCTTAAGTTCACTCTTAGGTTCACATTGTAAACTTTTCTTTGTTTTATGTGGTAAATAACTGTAAAATAACTGGCTATTAAAATGATTGTAATATAACCAAACAGTACTAAACTGTGATATAGTGAACTCTTTTTTACTTTTTACTTTGTAAAAGTACACATTTTTATGTTTTTAAAATAATAATTATTGTTATCATTGATTTTATTCTGTAAAGCGCCAGGACATTGTTATTTGTGGATAAATCATTAAATGAGTGAATGTGAAATTGTAATATCCCAGTGTGTGTATCTGCATAATTAAATATTTAAGTAATTCCTTTGTTATGATAAAGTCTGAATATAAAAAAGATTTCAAACTAAACTGAGCATGAATTACTAGGAATCATAAATATGTGGCTTGTAAAACAAATAATGTATTTACATAAAATATTGTAGTCTATGTAGGTTATATTCATGCAATGTTTCTCAGGGGGTTTTGTGATGCCATTTATTAATCAGTAAGTTCAATTAAAAAAAATATATTTTTGTTGTTATTGTAAAAGTACACAAAAAGATTTATTTTGCATTTTTATGCAATAGTATTGTTATCTTTGTATAGACCCCTTTTGCGCCGATGTCACAGTTACGTCACGGCGCTAGCTGGAGGCAAAACAAAGTGAAAACTGGAGGCGGCCAATGCATAACAGCACAGATTCAGCTACATAATAAGGAGCTTAAATAATTGTTACTATTATTAAGTGTCATCTTTGTCACAGTCTGTCGTCTTCACCAGTTTGTCCCGTCATCTGCACTACACTTCCCTGGATCCTTTTGTTTCTACTCCCGGACTCACTCCCCAATCAGCCACCTGTTCCTCGTCCTGTCATTATCATTTTCACCTGTGTTCACCCCACTTAGCTTAATTCCTCTGTGTATTTAGTTCAGTTCAGTTTCATTAAGAGTTTTGTCGGTCGATGTCTTTCGTTGTTCATTGTGAACCCGTGTGGTGCTTGTATTCCTGTCTGCCTGCCTGTTGATATATATTAAAACTTTGTTCTCCCCGATACTCCGGTCTCCTCGTCCCTCTGCCAGAGCCACACCGTGACAGATCGACCGACCAAACTGAAAAAGAAAAATGGAGATTCCCGCAGTGGCTCTCCTTTGCCTGGATCAGGAAGACCGTTCCCTGGAATCCCATACACAGGACTTTCTGGAGTTGGCGTGCCTAACTCACTATTCTGACCACTCGCTGAGTGAGTTCTACATCGCCAGCCTCAGTGAGCGGTCCTGGGCACGCCTCCCAGGGAACGGTCCCGATGATTTCGCCGCCTGTGTGGAGTGGGTGCTGGTGTGCTGTGGGTCTCCATTCACCGTGGAGGAAGTCACCAGCACCACTCCAAAGCTCGAGCTCTCCTCTCCGCTGGTTCCATCCAGCCCCGCCGAGTTTGAGCTCTCCTCTCCGCTGGTTCCGTCCAGCCTCGCCGAGCCCGAGCTCTCCTCTCCGCTGGTTCCGTCCAGCCTCGCCGAGCCCGAGCTCTCTTCTCCGCTGGTTCCGTCCAGCCCCGCCGAGCCCAAGCTCTCCTCTTCGCTGGTTCCGTCCAGCCCCGTCCAGCCCGCGCCAGAGACCG